ACACACTCACACACACACCCACACACATACACATACACGCACACTCGCACACGCACACACAAGCACACACTCACACACACACACGCTCGCACACGCACACGCTCACACACACACCTGTCTGAGCCTGCAGTCTGCGCAGATTGAATCCTCCCGGACCCACAAACAGAGCTCGTCTAGATAGAGGCACTTTGACGTTCTCTGTGGAAACGAGCTCACGTCAGGATCAGAAAAACAAAACAGCAGCAGAAACCACACGAGCAGGAACTCATCGTACCAACGAGTGGGCCGTTCTCCTTCCTGGAGCTCCTGGGTTTGGCGATGACCTTATTCATGATGCCTAAGATCTCCCGTTTGGCCACTGAAAGGAAACGCAGCAAATGTCACGTCACACACTCGCGGTGTAGGTCACGCGATGCTTGCTGAGTGAAGAGTACCTGTGGCCTGCTGTATGGCCTCCATCACGATCTTCAGAGGAAGCCCCGGGACCTTAATGTCCGCCTGTGGAGACAGCCATTAGTGATCACTAGGGATGTAACCATATCAAAATATCACCATACAATAATATCACGATATGAAGTCCACCATAGGATATTTATTGCAAAAGTAAAAAAAAAAAAAAAAAGAAAAATTTTGAACTTTTTTGATCGTCTGAACCAAGTGTGCGCTTCGCTTTGAAACACGCAGCGCAAACAGACTTGATGAAGCATATTGTGCTTTCAGTTCGAGTTCGTTTGACAGCTACTGTGCCAAAGCATAATGCCCCAAAACACAACTTTAAAGATCATTTATGTTAGAATAAGTAGTTTAAATATATATTTAAAAACTACAATTTTTGCCGGGAAGAACTATCGTTTCATATCATCATGTGACCACGATAATATCGAGACAGTTTTGCTATCATGATACTGAGATATTGATAATTCGCTCCATCCCTAGTGAACACACACACAGACGGAGCACAGGAGAGTGTGTTACCTGCAGAGCCGTGATCCCTTTACTGCTGCCTGCCATCTTGAAGTCCATGTCTCCGTTGTAGTCCTCTATTCCCTTGATTAGAGAGCAGAGGAATGAGCACGCGGCTCGGTTAACGCTCAGGGAACAGATGCTGGAGCACCTACCAGAATATCAGTCAGCAGCCTGTAGTCCTGGATCTCTGACGCTTTCTCAGGATGGGCTTTAGATATGAGGCCGATGGCGACTCCGGCTACAGCGGAGGACATGGGCACACCTGGACACAAACACCTGCTCAGTCATCACACGGGCACATGAGCCAAATGAGGATAGGTTTAGACATTAGGTTTTTTAACAAACTAGAATGGCGGATAAAGTTCACAGGCAATCATAAAAATTTGATTTACTATTGTACAGGCTTAAAGGAAGGATTCAGAAAAAAATACACATTTTGAATTCTTCGACAAGTTTCATTAAGTTTGGCCACTGACTCAGACTCTATCAGCATTTTAATTCTGTTCGATCTTTCCTCTGCTTTTGACACAATCTCTCGCAGTGTTCTCATCTCACGACTCTGCTCTTGGTATTCGGCAGCATTACATTGCTTTGCGGCAGGCTAAGTCCTCTACTGCTCCTGTCTCTCACGGTGTTCCTCAGGGATCTGTTCTCGGGCCTTTACTCTTCATCATCTACATGCTTTCTTTAGGTAGCATTATCCGTCATCATAGCCTCAACTAACATTGCAATGTAGACGACATCCAGCTCTATATCAGTTCTCAACACAACTGATCTCCTTTTCCCACCAACTCCTTATTGGCTTGTATTAATGATATAAATGCTTGGATGACCAGTAACTTTCTCAAACTCAACACTGATAAACAGATCTACTACTTGTCGGTTCACCAGAAAATGTTGCTCCTTTCTGTCCTGACAATGTTGACATTGCTGGGATCTTGGTTTGACCTTCTACTATCATTAAAATCCTGGGTATAATCTTTGACTCCTCTCTCTCCTTCCTACCTCACATTTCTTCTCTCACTAAATCTGCCTTCTTTCACCTCCGTAATATCACTCGCTTACGTCCCTTCTTAAATATCAGTGATGCTGAGACACTGGTTCATGCCTTCATTACTTCTCGACTCGACTACTGTAATTCTGTTTTCTGTGGTCTATCAAACACAACATTAAATAAGCTCCAATATATCCAGAACTCTGCAGCTAGGGTTCTACACAGACTTCATTGGTTACCAATTCAATACAAGATACTCCTCATCACCTTCAAAGCACGTCATGGTCTCGCCTCTCTGTATATTTCTGATCTCATTCATACTTGCTCTCCAGCTCGCACACTATGCTCTTCAGATACCGGTCTGCTGTTAATTCCACACCACAGGTTAGCATCGTTTGGAGGACGAGCGTTTTGTATCTCTGCCCCCACACTCTGCAATTCTATTCGCAAACACATTTGAGATCTTTCTTCATTACAAGATTTCAAAACCCACCCTAAAACATATATTGTCCTTTCTTGTTTCTCTGATCTCTGACTGTATGATCAGATGTTTATCTGCTGTCATGTTTATCTGTTTTGATATTGTAAAGCGACCTTGGGTTTGCAGAAAGGTGCTATATAAAATCAACATATTATTATTATAGCACACTACTGTAAGGCTGTAATTAAATGAGGTAATTAATTGGCCTGTTCAATCAAACCGCACAGGGCAGCAGTAGGACAGTATTGCGGTCATATGACGATACCTGCATCCATGAGCGCTAAACTGCCGCCACACACCGAGGCCATGGAAGACGAGCCTGTGGACACACAGAGCAGAGACAGAGCATGAGCTCAGGGGTCATCCTCCTCAGACGCTGAGAGCGGCGAGAGACGCACCATTAGACTCCAGCACCTCAGACGTGACGCGGATGGTGAAGGGGAAATCTGGAGGAACGACGGGCCTCAGCGCCTTCTCCGCCAGCGCTCCTGAACACACACACACACACACACCGCTGAGACTCGGAGGGGAAGGAGACGAGCGTCTTACAGAGGAAGCACACTCACCGTGACCCAGCTCCCGCCGGTTCGCTCCTCCCATCTTCCCGATCTCATTGGTGGCATACGGAGGAAACTAAAGAAACGCTCAGTGAGTGAAGGTGAACTGTACAGCCTGAGCTAAACATGCAGAGTAAAGCGTCACTCACTTCATAGTGCAGCATGAAGTTCTTGTCTTTGACGCCACTAGAAGAAAACGAACGTCACATCAGTCAAACCTTCACTAGTCAACATTTACAGCTCACAGCTCAGATGAATTGACCAGTGAAATGAGAGGAAAGCCTTTGCTGGAACAGGATGAAGTGTGTGTTTATCTTCAGCATCTCCTCGTAGACCGACGGCGACGCTTCATCACAGCCATCATGTGATGTCATTGCCGTAATGTTTATGACATTAACATCAATCCGCAAATAAATCACGGTGTTGTCAAGATTGTAGAAAAGCCAGGGAATATCAGAGAGTGTTACCTAGTCACTTGCTGCCACCTACTGCTGGCTGTAGTTACATATTCTAAAAAAGACTTCTAAAAAAGTCTACATTAAAATGCTATGTTTAAATTGAACACAGTCCATCTATGGATTTTGTTGATAGTGATTTCAATTGACTGTTAATAGCCAACATGTCTTTTTATTCGGATTTAATTTATTGATTAAATTTAAGAACCTGACATAAGTATATGATAATACATTTTTATAATACTACTACTACATCTCTGGCTTTATTTCAGGGCTTTAATCTGAGAGAACACATCTTGTTTATCGTATTATAATGACTATTTAATATTACATATAAACTTTGTTTGGGATAGACATGTTGCATATTAATTGTACTGTATATGTAACCTACTACATAACCTCAAAACATATTTTAATGCTTGTGTATTTTGTGTTACTCCATAATGATGCTGTTCTAGTTGAAGGCATTGAAATGTATAGGTATGGGGCCCAAACATAACCAATAAACTAAACATCAACATGAACTAAACAGCAAATGATGGAGCAAGTTATTTCATGCTGCTGAGAGATTATGAAAACATAATCTGTCTTGATCACATATGTTAGAATAACATGCACTGATGATTGGTTCACAGTGAGAGCAGGAACATGCTTTGAATGAGTGATTTCTCATTGCTCAGAGTAAATGAGCTGATGATTGAGTGTGTTACTGACCTGAGCGCGGTGGTTATCGCGTCTGATTTCATACTGGACTCCAGAGAGTCAAACGTGACGGAGCACAGCACCTGCACACACATTCACAGCAGACAACGCTGGACAAATCAGATGAAAACTGCCATCCAAGTCTGATGTGCTACAGAGATGGGGCCAGTGCTGACCTGTGTCTGACCCCTCTGGAAGAGAGCCGAGCCGTGGAGAGGCTTGAAGACGTCCACCTCGCAGGAAATGTTGCGCAGAGACGTCAGATCTCTGCCGTCACACCTGTCACATGACGCAGCACACGCGTGTGTTACTGTTGAGCAGATTCTTACACAGCTGCGTCTGTCAGTGGATCTCTCTCTAATATATCTGCACATAGACAGATCCGCTGACAGACGCTCATTAGCGGGAAACAGACGTTTCTAAAGTTTCAGTACCGAATGGTGTCGCGGTCGGTATTTTGACAACACTAGAACACAAACATCAGAGCATGAATTACCGCCTGTATTCACTGAGAACCAGATTCCTGAAGACCTCTCTGGAGACGCTGTTGAAAGCCTCCACCACCTCGAAGGACTCTGACTGCGGGAACCTCTCTAGAGACGGCACACAGCACCGTTACACACAGAGCAAACACACGGTCATAACGGCTGATGAACGCCACGCACCTCTGATGTGCTCCTCCGCCTCCAGACGGATCTTATTGATCGCTTCATCTCGGGAGATCTGGGAAAACACGCACACTTAAAGAGCAGTTCACCCAAAACTGAAGATCTGCTCACCCTCAGGACATTCCAGATCAGGATGAGTTTGTTTCTTCATCAGTTGCAATGGATGCTCTGCAGTGAATGGGTGCCGTCAGAATGAGAGTCCAAACAGCTGATAAAAACATCACAATAATCCACAAGTAATCCACAGCACTCCAGTCCATCAGTTAACATCTGGAGAAGACAAAAGCTGAAACAAATCCAGCATTAAGACGTTTACAACTAAAATACATTGAGTCTATAATCCATAATAACGCTTCCTCCAGTGAAAAAGTCCATCTGCTGTTGTCTCTCACATCAAAATCCAGCCACATATGTGTTTAGAGCTGTTTAAACGCTGCTTGATCTGTGCAGATTTCTCTCCTGATTCACACCAGAACACTTTTTCACTGGAGGAAGCGTTAGTATGGATTATAGACTCTATGTATTTTAGTTATAAACGTCTTAATGCTGGATGTGTTTCAGCTTTTGTCTTCTCCAGATGTTAACTGATGGACTGGAGTGCTGTGGATTACTTGTGGATTATTGTGATGTTTTTATCAGCTGTTTGGACTCTCATTCTGACGGCACCCATTCACTGCAGAGCATCCATTGCTGAGACTCATCCCGATCTGGGACGGCCTGAGGGTGAGCACATCTTCAGTTTTGAGTGAACTGTTCCTGTAACACCGCATGAGATCAGACACAGGGTGCCGGTGTGACGCTGACACGCACCTTGTCATGTGTGAAGTCTGTAAATACAGCGTAGATCTTATCAGACGCCAACCTGAGGAGAAAACAGCCAATCACACTCTCACACAGAGAAGTCATGAGGAACAAACAGCGCGTCAGAAGAATGCATTTAGACAGCGCAGGATTATGAGTCACAAGCCCAGCTCATATTTCACTATATTTGGAACAGAATACTGAAGCTCAGTTAACGTCCCGTGTTGTATGTCTTGTTGTGGTGTGTGTGGAGTCTCACTGGCGTGTGTAGTCCAGCATCTCGGCGGAGGCGGTGAAGAGTCTGGCAGGAGAGCGTTTGCTGATCTTCATGTCTCTGCTCATCTGCTGGATGGCCAGGATGATCTGCTGCGTGTGCTTGACTCCGAGCTTCACCGCGTGACTGAAGTCCTGCTGCAGGACGTTCTCAGCCGCCGCCTCCATCATCACTACACACACACACACACACAGTGAGTCAGAGCAGGGCATGATGGGTAACGCAGAGCGCTGCTGAGCTCACACTCACCCACTTGGCTGGACGGGGCTCCAGCGATCACCAGGTTGAGTTTGCTGCCGCTCATCTCTGAGCGTGTGGGGTTGATGAGGAACTCTCCGTCCACGAGGCCCACACGCACCGCTCCTGAAACACAGCCAGCGTCACACACACACACATATACACACTCGCTGCATTCGTGAGAGTGTGACGCTGCACTCACCGATGGGTCCGTTCCAGGGGATATCAGACAGAGCCAGAGCCGCAGACGCTGAGAAACGAGCGACAGGATCAGACACACATACACACACACACACACACACTCTCTCTCACACACGCGCGCGCACACACACACACACACACACACACACACACACACACACACACACACACACACAC